GAGACCTCCTGTGCCACTGACACCCACTGGAACTGCTGGGATGAGGTCTGTGTTGGGATCTTCCTGCATAAATCAATGATTTCAAGGAAAAGTTCAGAAGACTAATAATTAAAATCATAGAAGACAGTATGGTGGAAAGAATAACAAAATATGCCCCTTTCTCCCAAATTGTTTACTTTTTTATAATATCTATTTCTACTGCTGAAATTCTGCTTGGAAATTTACACTCCATAGTAAGTAATATAAATACAGTAATTTTGCCCTATTTATTTTCTCCTTTGGCATTTTTTCCCTTAAAATACAGTACACTGTATTTTAAGAATTGTAGAGAACATACATTTATGTCTCTCTCTTTTAAAATAGTACTATTTCTATATAGATATAAACCTACACATGCCTTTTTTTTTTTCATCCCTGTTTTATTTTGAAGAATTATAGCTGGTTTCTCAGATGGGTTTTCCAAGTTGGCCAAAACTTTTTTCCCCAAAATCACTCACAGTAAGTCTTTCTTCTTTCTTCTCCCTTCAGGGAAAGATCAAGCTTGTTAACGTGTGAAGAAATGTTGGAAAATACTGGACACCTAGAGGTCTTCAGTAAACGTACTTGCTCAGAGTTGCTGTAGAAGATGACGACAAATTAAATCCCTCAGTTGAGATGATATGTGCTCCAGTCCTAACTCCCATCCAAAAATCTAGCTTTACTGAGAACTATCATATTCAGAACTGGACATATTATTTTCCCAAGCTTTTCTAAAATACCACTGTTTCCTGACAGCTGCTAACAGATGAAAAACCCTCTTTTTACCCCAGAAAGGCTATTTAATTTCATCTCCACAATGACAAAGTTTCTGGTAGTTAGTCCTCTGTGCTCCTAGTTCGATTTTGAAACCACTCCGCCAAATTAATATGAGTAGACAATAATAAAAAACCCAAAACCATTCAGCAGTAATATGCTTTTGCCAGTCTCTTATTAAGACTCAATTAGCTAGGGCTGAACCCAGTGATCCTCTGTTTATGCACTATGTCCATGAGCAATTCCTGAGTAAAGATTATGGAACAAAAAATGGAGACCTATGTGCTACCATGAATTTTTTGTAGGAGTGTGCCTTTGCCTGTATCAGGGCCCACTGAAGTCACCATGACTCTGAGCCCAGCTCGAAGCCTGTCTGCACTGGTCTTATCACTGACAGGATATACAGTGAAAGCTGCAGTAAGGATCAGGTGCCTTCACAGATTCCTTATTTAGTTGATTCTTTACATGTATTTTGAAATTTCCTAACACAAATTTTTTTTCACTTTCCTTAAAGCTAGCTCTATTCTGCAAATGAGTTTTGCTTGTGCTTTGGATAGTCACCTAATACAGATTTCACTGTGTAAATTTGTGTGCATGTACATAAGCTGTCTTCAGCTCTCACACAAGCATGTATCTTCTGTGCAGAGAGGCAATGCTTACCAAAAGGGCATTCATTATCATAACAAATACAGAGAGAGCAAAAGACAATGTCCTTGTCCCTCACTTTTTAGTAGAAGAATATAACTACATAAGCTGAGAGCCCCAATATGTACCAGATGAAACCTGCCATCTCTGCTGTTTGAAATACAGCTCTCATTCTTTCTTCTTTAATCATGTAGAATAGCATTAAACTCTTAAGAAGAAATTTTTTTGTTTGGTTTGTAACTATTGTTCCACAAATTCTTTGGCAGCTGATGACTTGGTTTTATCATTTATAGAGCTAAAACTTCATTCTAGAATTTTGTTGGTTTTTGTCTTTGAATTATGGTGTGCAGAAGGACAGCCTTCACCTGCTATATTAAAATAAATAAAAAAAAAAGAAAAAAGATACTGTCTCTTTAATGAAAGAAAAGCATTAATATACTGTATTACTGAATGCAAATGCAATAAAGAATAACATATAGCTCTGGTTATGTTATATGACATTTGGCTTAGAAGTATTAACATATTGTACAAAATCTGGATTTTCCCTATTGCAGAAAATAAGATGATAAAAGACATGGGAAATATCTTTCTTCCATATGATCATAAAATAAATATTATTTTTTCTTTTTCTTCTCATCAGTCATTTGCAGAAATATTTTAGTATTACTTCTTTGTTAAGCCAGCTCTTTATCATGTATGTATTAGGCATACAGTACAAGGAGAAATGGAACAAGATGGCAGTTATAGCAGTGGCAAGATGCAAATTTATTCTGGAAAAAAGTAATATGTGCACAATATCAAGCATGCTTAAGTTTGTGCCAGGAAAACTATTACGAATGAAGAATGGATGGAATGGAATTTTGCATCATACATGATTACATGTTGCTTAACTTCATAGAAGAGTCTTTGTCTACTCCTGATGTCCCCAGGTGCCACCAAGAGAAGCTGCTTACCACACTGCTAGGGTGAAAATGGCAACAGATACCCCAGCAGTAGTCACTCCTGCAACATGACTCTTTGTTTCAGAAATTAAAGAAGTAGACCTCAAAAAAATGACAGAAAATTCACAGACCATTGAACTGCAGGCACTAACTCCAGGTGGGAAGAGTGGGACAAATTTATTACATGTTGTACTTGAGTAATAATTGAAAGTCTGTAGTTGTTTTCTACTTCATTTTCCCCAAGTTTAATTAGGCTACTTTATGCATGTGACGTCACTGTCACTGTTTTTCCTCCTGTCTCTCTCATATTGTATGACACATGACAGAGTGTAACCAAGCAGTGGAGGAGTCGTATTTTTCACTGACACCACTTGAAAACCATTTTATAGAAAAATAAGGGATGAAAGATGAAGAAGAGCATGAGAGAAGAAATAAAATATCTTAAAGATAGATCTCTACATTAACTCACCATGAGGTAAGAAAGAAATAATAACTTTTCTTCATGTGCCAATTCAATCGGGATGAACCAGACTTGCTACTGTATTGGTACAGTGTAAAAATAGATGACAGTGAGTAATGGTGTGAACAAAAAAAACCATGAGGAACATCACAGAAATGTATGTTGGATGGCCTTTGCACAGCAGAGGTAGATAAAGGTTATAACAAACTGTTTACTGACCATGTACACTTACTAGAATTAAGAGGTCAGTTGAACAAGAGCTCACCTAGTAAGAGCTTTCTCAGTAGTGTGACTCATCAGCTGTAGTACAGTACCAGAGCACTGCCCAGTTATTGCTCCATCACTTTTCAGTAACATCTCTGTCCTTTCAAAAGTCTACATTCTACCATTAGTTAAGGCTTTTTCTTTTGCATTTCTACATTTTTCCCCAGTTTTTCATCAGTTCACTACAATTAATACATGTGCCTCTAAAAGAAAAGAAAATAAATAAAAAGCACCATGTTTTATTGAACAAAATATAGCATGTGCAAGAAAGGGAAGGGAAGAATTATAGAAACAAACCAGTGCTGAAGAGTTTTGCATTAGCTGGTGCTTTTTGTTGTTGTCATATTTGCACAGATCATTTTAGGCTCCTCAGTCCGGGTTGTAGCAAAAGACTATCAAAACAAATGCTCTTGCAAAGTATTTGAGCTTTCGCAGCTTAACATGTGCATCTTGAACCGCTTAAGCAGCATGGTTATCTTCTTGTTTTTCTCCAGAATTTAACAGACCATAAAGTGTATACAAAAATGCATTATGCACCAGTGATTAAATGTTCTTACAACATTAATATTTATGAAGGGGTATTTCATAGCTAGAAAGTAGGTAACTATATTTTATTTCCTAAGAGAACATTTTCTATAGGTTTCCTTCGTTTCCCAGCTACACAGCAAATATCTCTAAAGTGCACTTCCCAAGTGTAGTTAGAGAATAGGAAGGAATGTAAAGTTTTTAAAAACAGCCCTTATTAACTTTTCCTTCCATTGATTCTACTGTAAACTCTAAAAAGCCTTTTAAGAAAGCAAATTCTCATACACTCAGCAGGTGAAATGTTCCCACAAAAATAAAAGTAAACAAATTAAAAACCACCCCAAAAAATGAAAAATCAGCAATCGTATTACAATCTTTTCTCTTGACTACTCGTATCCTAGTATATCTTTACTGGTTTTATTGCACATTTATGAAAATGGTTCTCCTGTATATTAAAAAAAAATAGTTTCTTTATCTGTGCTAACACATTCTTGTGCATCCTTAATAAACTAGAGTAACTTTCAATAACATGTAGATATTAGAAAAACAACGGAACCGGAACCAAAACCAAAGAGATACTTTGTATTGCAGATGCTCAAAGACTTCTAGTGTAGTTTTGTTGAGACAAAAAAGAGTTGGATTTTGGAAGTTCTTAGCTCCCGTTCCATATGGAAAGCTGCTGGTTATGTGACAGCAGGAGAACTCAAAACATGATTCACAATGAATGTCAACCCTTCACCTCCAATATGAAGGTTTCCCAACTACTCAACTTGCTGAGCATAACTGGTTTTACGTAGCATATCTATTAAAGGCTGCTCCTGTTCAACTGACCAGTGAGAAAGGACTGGACTTCTTCAAACGGGTATTGGAGCAACAGTTTGTTATATATTTCTTTACGTTTTTTAACTGTCCGATCCCACCTTTTAAGGAGAGCACTTGTTTGTTCAGCTAAAAGGAACCACCTTCATGCTCCTTTTGGGTTTGCTCAGTCAACTGTTTTGTGCAACAGTGGCAGAGGTACACTAGAATTGTGTACCCATTCATTGTGATTACACAGACAGAAGCAAATGTGTGTTGTCTGTGACAGGAGATGGGAAAGGGAAAGGAGATGAATGGTTCCCATGGGTAAGAGGACAGTAAGGTTTATTTGGGGTTTTTTTTGTGGTTGCCTTTTTTATTTTTTATTTATTTTCTATTTTTTGGTTAAATTTGTTTTGTTCTTTTTGTGGTTTTTTGTTGAGGTTTTTTTTGTGGGTTTTTTGTTGATTTTTTCTTTTTTTTTTCTTTTTTTTTTTTTTTTTTTTTTTCCTTTTTTTTTTTTTCTGCTATGTCATGGAATCATAGCAGTCATTCCTCTAATAGAAACTGACAGGACATAAAAGACAGAACTATCAGATGAACACACACAATGACTAGAAAGATATTGACAGAGAAAAGACTTAATTTAGCTTTGATAAACCGTCCCAAAAATAAAATCCTGTATTAACAAGTGCAAAAAAACAAACAAAAAAAGAAACTCCAAACATTAAAACACAGTGTATAAAATGGTGTGAGAAATTTAAGTCACCAAACAGCCTTTTAGTCAATAAAAAGCTGTGTTCATGTGTCCTTGTTTGGGTAGTGGCCCATCCTTTTCATTTTATCCAAAAGGTCATTCAAGAAGAGATCTGAGGGTAAAGCACTCAGTCTTTGCTGTTTTTGACTGTAGTCATTTGGGCCTGTTGTGTTTCTATCATGTAAAATGAATCCTTTCTTTTATTCCTCATTGGTTGAATTATCTTCCAAAGTTGTTATGCCTCCAAAGCCCAGTCCTGTTGAGTTCTGTGCTGCTGAGACTGTAAGTACTGTATGTAAGAGAATTAATACAAGAACACACAGTTTAAGTCTGCTGTTACACAGTCTTGATGCTGATGAAACTGTGAGCGATGTCCTGTGACACATTGTTGAGCCACTTGTTTTTATAGTCCCTTTGGATTGATGATCTGATAATAGTCCCCATCTGACATCACAGCATTCTGGTTCTGCATTGGTTGGATAGTTTTCATAGAGCCCTGTAGGGTAAACATAAAAGAAAAATAAACACTAGGCACAAAGATTGGCTGAAGTGGTAGCTTGAAGGAACAGTTGATGGTTTAGTCTGAACTATTGAATCCACGTCTTTGGGTGAGACTGAGGCCCTCAAAATGTCTGCCATTTTGTATAACTAGAGATGTTGAAGGAACATGCATCATCTAACAAGAAGCAGCATTAAAAGATAATTCAGAAGGAGTATGATGATAATCATGGTTTGTAAAGTAACAGCATTAAAAAGTAATTCTTGATATTTGAATGATAAGAGTATTTGAATTCTTCCTTTTTGGGGAGTAACAATGAATGATGAAGTAAGAAATAATCAATCAGGACGTTTCCACAAAATTTGAAAGGACCTTGAAATTCTTCTTTCAGTATATAAGCACATACCAGTAATACCATGATTCATGAAAAGACAGGCATTAAATAACAAATTGACGTACTGATGATATTGATAATATTGATTGTTTAACCAATGTAAATCAAACTGTATTACAGGAACAGCTTCCAAACAGAGCTGTTTTGGGTCTACTTTTTTACCCTGGATGTTGTCTTCAACACACCCCAGAGCTGAGAACAGTCTTTTCTTGCCATACAATAATTGGATTTCCTGGTATTTCTGACTATACATCTAGGCCATTTTTGCCTATGGAACTCTACTGAGTTACTCAGCCTGATCTGATTATGACTTTTTGAACACTAAGAGGAATTCTGTCTTATTGCAAATTGTCAATGCTGTCTGCATTACTATATAGGAGATCAACCAGAGTGTTCTGTTTGCTTCTCACATACTTTTTTTTCTTACAAATAAAAATAACCTAATTAGGATACTTAACTAATGTTCAAATGCAAGAATGTCTAAGATAATGGACAAACAACTTTTCTGCATTTAAACTGATCTTGGACTAAATTGTTCAGTAAATAAGATACTCTGTTGTAGAACTAGGTTTTAATAGGAAAAAGATCTATCTGTTCTGAAATATTGGGATAAAAATTTTGAAAGCAGCTTTACTTCGAACAAGAATTCATTTTCTCTAAAGCATTACAGCAACAATATTATTTTCAAAAAGCAATTTATAACATTCTTAGGTCCAAGCACCAGACTGCTTACATTCTGTAAATAATCTGTAAAGAAAAACAGCACAGCTTAAAATATGATAAAATGGAATTCTTTGGTTCCTACTTCCATAATATTGATCTACAACTAAACAAAAAGCTAGTTAGGTATGCTGAGCATGTTAAGATGCAAATTAAACCTAGACTAGCATATTTTTACATAGCTGACACAACAGTCTCCTATGCTATATATGAATCCAAGTGAAGTTGCATTTAGTTTTGTATTCAACAAAATTTTTAAAGATACAGGAGCGAGAGGAACTTGTTTCATGTTCTGTAAATTCAGTTTACTCTATGGCAAACCTGACCATTTTTGCACCTTTGAAGTCAGAATCTTAATGCAGCATTCCAATGCTTGAAAATTATTTATTCTCTCTCAGATCATAGCTGAAAGCACTGCATGTTTTTTAAGAAATTCAACTGCATTTTGGAACTTGTGGACAGCTGTTTATTGCAAGAATAATAAAGCAGTCTTATTGCTAACATCATATTTTCTGAGATGTATCTTTTGGCATTGGTGTGCATAAGTCTGTTTTGAAACGTTGCAACATACAGGCAGTGCCTCCCAAAGCAGGGAATTATACAATTTGTTCTGTGACTGCAGTAGCTCAAATGATTAGTAGTAATTGAAGAAACATAGAGAATGGTTAATGCTTTGATCTCACTGAGACTTGTTTGCTATTCAAACTATATTTTCTGCCTTTCTTGTTACAGGAAAATCCTGACTTTCTTTGAAATCAAAGATATGTATGCAAATTGGCAATCAAAATGTATTTAAATAGTTCATATGCACTTACTGAATTAAAAATAAATTGACAGCAACTCCACATTCAAAGCTGAATTGAATTTGTTCCTTAATACAAAATTCCATTTCCTCTTTATTTCAATTCAGTAATTGAATTTAAGTTTTGAATTTGTAGTTACATATTTAATAAACAATTAACTACAGAACTACTATTCATGTGACAGTGTAGAACATTTGGATAAATTCAGTTAGACCTTTTTCAGTGAAATAATAGTTCACAACACACATTCTTCACCATGTACTTGTTTGTAGCCACAAATATAAGTTTTTGCCCCTTGGATCTAATTAAGCAGTTTATTCAGTCAGAGGGTTACAAACCTGTGATTTACCAGAAACCCGGGGAAACTGTCTACATCAGTCACGGAAAACAAAGGAGAAAAAACCCTAGTTTGTTCTTTTATCAAAATATTCATAGAATGGCTTGGGTTGAAAGGGACCTTAAATCATCTAATTCCAAACCCCTGTTGTGGGTATAGACACTTTACACTTGACCAGATTACTCAAAGCCCCATCAAACCTGGCCTTGAACACTTTCAGGGATGAGGAATCTACAGCTTCTCTGGTCAACCTGTTCCAGTATCTCACCATGCTCACAGTAAAGAATTTTTTCCTAATATCTAATCTAAACCTACTCTCAGTTTGAAACCATTTCCCCTTGTCCTATCATCACATGCTTTTGTAAAAAGTCTCTCTCCATCTTCCCTGGATGTTCCTACCTGAACCTGAGTGTGTTAGCCCATGGAACTTTGTTTTCCTTGGGCTTCCCCCACCCTCAATAGATCAAGACTGCAAATGTTGCTTCGACCAATGGACATCTAAATTGCAACAATCAAGTCTCATCATCAGATCCAAGAGTGGTGACTCTGAACCCTTCTCTCTCCTTTTTTTTCTTTCTCTTTCTTCTCCTTTGGACGTTGTTTTAAAATTTGCCAAGTTCCTTATTCTACCTTAATGTTCTAAAGTTTGCAAGTTAAAGTTTGTTAGTGAACTCCCTGAGAATTTTGTTCTTTCTCCTGTGCACCACCCAGTCAAACAACCTTCATCTAAACCTGCTAAGTGAACTGGGACGTAACACTGGTCAAACTCCTTTTGATGCAGTCCAGGGCACAACTGGCTTTCTGGGCTGCAAGTGCACATTGTTGGCTCATGCCCAGCCTGTCATCCACCTGCACCCCCAAGTCCTTCTTGGCAGGGTTGCTCTCAATCTGTTCATCCCTCAGCCTGTATTCATCCAGGGGTCGCCCTGACCTAGGAGCAAGACCCTGTACTTGGTTTTGTTTAATCCACATGAAATTCCCATGAGCCCACTTCTTGAGTTTGTCCAAGTTTCTCTGGATAGCATCTCGTCCTTCAGATGTGTCAACCACACTGCTCAGCTTGGTGTCATCTGCAAATTTGCTAAAGGAAACACTTAATCCTTTTGTCTATGTCATTAATGAAGATATTTAGTAACACTGTTGCAGAAGGCCACTAGGCTGGTTAGGCAGGACTTGCCCTTGGTGAAACTACGTTGGCTGTCTCAAATCAGCTCCTTGTTCTCCATGTGCCTTAGCATAGCTTCTAGAAGGATCTCATGACGGGTTGGTAGTTCCCAGCATCCTCCTTTTTAAAGATGGGTTAAATGTCCCCCTTTTTCCAGCCGCCTGGGACTTGACCAGACTGCCATGACTTCTCAGATATCGTGGAGTGGATTGGCAACTACATTAGCAAATTCCCTCAGGACTGTGGGATGCATCTCATTGGGTACCACACACTTATGTACATTCAGGTTCCTTGGGTGGTCATGAACCTGATCTTTACTTACAGTGGGAGGGACTTTGCTCCCCTAGTCCCCATCCTGCTGCCCATCCACTTGAGAGGTGTGGGAAGAGAGGTTGCCATTGAAGACTGAGGCAAAAAGTTGTTGAGTACCTCAGCCTTCTCCTCATCTGTTGTTACCGGTTTTCCAGCACTGATTATCATGGAGGTACACCTTCTTTGGCCTTCCTTTTCTGGTCAACATACCTGTAGAAGCCCTTCTTGTTATTCTTTGCATCTCTTGCCAAGTTCAGTTCCAGCTTTGACTTGGCCTTCCTCACCCCATACCTAGACTACCCAATTTCATGCTCTTCCAAGGTTACCTGTCCTTGTTTCCATTGCTTTTGCTTCTTTCGCCTTAGTTGGACTTTTATTTTGTTTGAGTATTATATATAGGGATACGAAGTTTGGGATAAGAAATAAAAAGGATATCTGTATCCACCAAACCACCAAGGTTTCCCTGTTCCTCTTCTGTCTTCGTAGTTCAATTTGTAGACATCATTACTTTGTATTACTTGGATATTTGATAATTACATTTCTGAGACTGACTTACCAGCTGTTACCGGCTCAAAATGTACTTTGCTTTTCACTTTCTACTTACAATTCTCAGTTCTATGCCTTCATTTCCCAGCTCTTCCCAGCACTCAGCTATATTTCATCAGCAGAAATCTTACACCATATGGAGGTTCTTGGACCTTTAGTATAATTGAGGATCTAGAATTTGCCAGGAGACTTTGGTTTCAAACCATTCTCTGGATAGATATACTATGACTTACAAAGATCATATAAAAGCTAACTCTTTGTTTTGTTACAGGATAGGTTTTTTCCCACATACAAGTAACTTTTTGATGATCAGCACAGAAGTTATATCTGTAGGGATTGTGTGTTACTAATGCTGGGGCAAGAATTAAGGCTACTCATTTGACTGAGATTATGTTAATAGAGACATGAAGAGAGAAATCCTGTGTGTCCCAGTCAGCTGAATTATACTGAAAGAAAAAGGAGCAACATAACGAATATAGTATTCACTTTGTGCAGAAACAGCTTTGGGGGAAAAGCAGTAAACTGCAAGTTCTTACACAAGAATTGAAATCACAAAGATTGTCTACGCATGCATGGTCTGCTGATCAGCTGGATCACCAGCTAACTCAGAGAATGATGTGGTTTCTGCCTGAGTTCTTGCAGGAACCAGCCTGCAAAAGTAGTGGTTGAATTTCCACGTCTCTCAGCACTGTCAGGATATGTCACACATGTAGCTGGATT